TAGTTTTTTTAAAAATATTGAATTATTTTTTTTTGTAGTAATATTCTAAATCATAGAATAGAATTAAATTACTGTACTAAATTAATAAAAATATCAAATATTTTTTCTTCTATTTTAGCTTGTTCAATATCGTACACGATTTTGTGGTGAAGTAGCGAAATGTGTTTGCATTGATATGAATATTCAAGCAGGTATGATACATTGTAAAGCAGGTTGTGATGGTATTGTTGACAAAATTACAACAATTAAATCACGAAGGAATAAAATTTCATCAAGAGCAAATACAATTCCATTTAGTAATTTTATCATTTTATTTCTTCTGTTTAGGTTATCATAAAAATCACAAAAATTTTAAATTATTTTGAAATAATTATTAACTGTATCGTATAATTTGGGTTAAGTAACTGTACTGTGCAAGATAATTCTCATATATGCTATTCATTATTATTTGTGTTAGTATGATCATACATTTTTAATTATTTTAACATTTCAGATAGTTTTGAAAATTTTTATTCTGGCATGTTGGAATTATTAGTTTTAAAATAGATATAACTAATGACTAAATCGATATATGAGAAATTACAAAAGTTAAGATTATCATATCAGGAACATATTTTCATGTAATTTTATTAAATTCCATTAAAAATGATTGATCAAAAACAAACTAGTAGCATAATATAAATAAAATCTTTTTTTTTCAAAAATAAGTGATTAAATGCTATTGTATTTAAAAAATCTTACGAAATTTAAATCGAAAATAAAAAAGAAAAAGATTAAATAAATTTCAATTATTCATTTCAGTTCTTTTTTTAACGTTCTCTTGGTGTTTATATGAGAATAATTGTTGAAGATATCATAATATTTGCTACTTACTGCACAATGATCAAATAATTGAATTAATCAGCATTAATTAATGATTACTTATATTTGTTACTAAATAATATTTTTGATAAATATAGTAATCAAAAAGAAAAAAGGAAGTCAAACAAAGCCGTTATAATAAATTTCCGTACACCTAATTCATATTAACTAGGAATTTTTTAATTCCTATATTTCATTAATGTATATTTAATTCATGAATTTATGCTAAACTTATCAATAATATTCGATATTAGAGAAACGAAAATATGTTTGAAGTTAGTTAGCAAGCAGTTATTTGTTTTATCAACCAGCTTTTTTGATAGAATTTTTTTAAATATTGATTTTTTTTGTGAGGGAATGAGAGAAATTTGAATGAGTATTTGTCTAACAAAAAACTAAATTAAACTGAAAAAAAAAAGATTATGCAAAGAATAAAAGATCGTCAAACTTCTTCATTCATTGCAATAATATATTTTTCATTTTCCTTTTTTTTTCAGCATCATTATTGTTAGCAAAATAATTGTTAATTGAAAATTTTTATAATGGTTTATTAATGAGCATTTTCAATATAAATGTCAGTCATTCAATGTAAATGTCATTACAATGTTGAATGTATCAATTCGAATATATGCATTGTAAATATAATGTATAAATAAAGATTCAGAAAAGACTAATTTTGTAAAGAATTTGCATATTTCAATAAAAATAATGATAGAAATTTCAATTTTCGATTATTTATGTTTTTTTTTTCATACTTTTTTTCTTCTTCTAATCCAATTCTTCCATAGCATTATAGGTAAATAATGGTCGTGGAAAAACTTCGAAAAGATTCTCATCAACTAATACTGATGGTGATTCAGGCTCCGGTATATCAGATTTTAATCCTTGGCCAATCCATTTATGCACCTGCTTGCATTTAGCTTTTAATAATTCAATTCGTTCCAAAGGTGATAGCTGTGGTACTGTCCAATCAGCCCAATCATCACATTCAACATACATCTCATAATTA